ACCGTGATTAACATTCCTAGTATAAATAACCCTAGTTTTGCGCTGTTTTCCGTACAAATTAACAGGAGAGGACGCTCTTATTTGTGATTTGCTGGCGAGCAGCGCAGTTATATGTGCAATGGGGTATAGTCGTTGCGCTGGGTATGCAGTTACAGTTGCATGGCTATACTCAATCCCGACTCTTGCCTCCTCGTTCGCGCACTCTGGGCAACGACAGCAATCCATGTGCGAGATGCGGTAAGCAATCCGAGTGGAGCCTTGGGTCACGGCAGAAAGAGAGGGAGCTTCGATGGGGCCACTCCGATTTATTCGGTTTAAGGGCTCACTGAAGCCTGCGGGTGTCTGCTTGGAGTAAGCGGCTCGCTATATAAACGTGTATTTGGTTGCGAAACCACCCCCGTCCCAGCAATGGGTTGTGCGCTAGGCTTGGGACCCGCCACGTAAAAACCACTTCCAGTGAAGAAGCAAGGCAAAGCCTCGGATGAGACCCCTTATGATGACGACCACGGCAAACGTTTAAAGGACTACGACTTGAGGGCATGCACCTGGAATGTCCGGAACTTAATTGGGAAGGTGCCTCTGCCCGGCCGGTTGATGTCCTCGTAAGGACAAAAGCTGAAATCACCGCCATCCAAGGAATGCGCTGTGCGGAGCAAGGCAAGCAATGTCTGGGGCCTTGCGACATCTACTACAGTTTCCACGTACAGGAGCGCAAATTCGGTGTTGGATTTGTGGTGGGAGAGAGACTCCGTCGCCGAGTACTGTCGTTCACCCCGGTGGACGAGCGTCTAGCCACAATCCGCATCAAAGTGAGATTCTTTAACATCTCACGCATCTGCGCCCATGCCCCGATGGAAGAGAAGGATGAGGCATCCAAGGATCTCTTCTATGAGCACTTGGAGCGCACGTACGAGCGCTGCCCCCGTCATTATATCAAAATCGTGCTTGGCGACTTCAATGCCAGGGTGGGCAAGGATGGGATCTTTGGAATCACCGTCGGAAAATTCAGCCTGCACGACGAAACGTCCGACAACGGATTGAGGCTTATCGACTTCGCCGGGGCCCGAAACATGGTAGTATGCAGTACGAGGTTCAAGCATAAAAAGATCCATCAAGCTACGTGGCTATCTCCGGATCGAAAAACGAGAAACCAAATCGATCACGTTGTGATAGATGGAAGGCACGCTCCCAGTATTTTAGACGTACGCACACTCCGAGGCTCAAACATCGACTCGGACCACTATCTTGTTGCAGCCAAAATACGCACCCGCATCTTTGGAGCAAAAAATGAGCCCCGAAATATGCAAGGAAAGCTTAACGTCGAAAAGCTGCAATCACAACAGACAGCCAGCGAGAGAGGCCGAAATACGTGAGTGCGAAGAGCTTGAAATGCTGGCCGACAGGAAGAATGTCCGAAAATTTTACCAGAGAGTTAGGCGACTTACGGAAGGTTTAAAGACCGGGGCGTACTCCTTTAATAACAATAATGGCGACCTAGTAACTGATGTCCAGAGCGTACTTAAATTATGGAGGAAACACTTTTCCGCCCTACTAAATGGTAGCAGCACGGGAAGCTGTGGAGAAGAAGAAACCGAGCCCGCAGTCGATGATGACGGAGTCGGCGTTCCACCGCCTGACTATGACGAGGTAAGAATAGCAATAACGCGGCTGAAAAACAACAAATCCGCTGGAGCTGACAGCCTGCCAGCAGAGCTATTCAAGTACGGCGGCGAGGAGTTTATAAGGTGCATGCATAAACTCTTGTGCAGAATATGGTCAAATGAACGCATGCCCGACTAGTGGAATTTAAGTGTGCTCTGCCCGATCCACAAGAAATGTGACCGCGCCATTCGCGCCAAATACCGTGGTATCAGCCTTCTAAGCATAAGTTTCAGGGTCTTATCGAGCGTATTGTGTGAAAGACTGAAGCCCACCGTCAATGAACTGATTGGGCCTTATCAGTGTGGCTGTAGACCTGGCGAATCCACCATAGACCAGGTATTCACAATACGCCAAATCTTGGAAAAGACCCACGAGAAAAGGATCGACACTCACCAGCTCTTTGTCGACTTTAAAGCCGCTTTTGATAGCACTAAAAGGAGTTGCCTATACGCCGCTATGTCTGAATTTGGCATCCCCTCAAAACTCATACGGCAATGTAAAGTGACGTTGAGCAATACCACCAGCTCCGTCAGAATTGGAAAAGACCTCTCCGAGCCGTTCGCCACAAAACGGAGTTTCAGACAAGGCGACTCCGTTTCATGTGACTTTTTTAATCTGATGTTGGAGAAGATAATAAGAGCTGCAGAACTGAACCGCTCAGGAATAATTTACTACAAGAGCGCGCAATTGCTGGCTTATGCCGATGACATCGACATCGTCGGCAACAAAAACCGCGAAGTCTGTTCTGCCTTTTCCAAGTTGGATAGGCAGGCAAAGCGAATGGGTCTGGTGGTAAACGAGGACATGACGAAGTATCTCCTGTCATCAAACAAAGAGCCAGCACATTCGCGCTTTGGCACCCACGTCACTGTTGACAGTTACAATTTCGAGAAAGTAGAGAATTTCGTTTACTTGGGAACCAGCATAACCACCGATAATAATGTCAGCATTGAAATCCAACACAGAATCACTCTTGCCACCAAGTGCTACTTTGGACTGGGTAGGCAATTCAGGAGTAAAGTCCTCTCTCGACGTACGAAAACCACGCTCTATAAGTCACTCCTCATGCCCGTGCTGGTATATGGCGCTGAAGCATGGACAATGATAACTCCAGCTCAGGTGGAGAAGGACTTAGCTTCACTTGGCGTTTCCAATCGGCGTCAGTTGGCACAGAGGAGAAACGACTGGCGTGCTTTGCTGAACTCGGCCAAAATCGCTTAGGCGGTTACAGCTCCAAAGAAGAAGAGCGCAGTTATGTGGGCATGTATGTTAGGTTCTATAGGATTTTTAAAGTCCTGCAGTTCCATTTTTTAGAAGTATTTAAACATTGCCTAAGACAATGAGAAGCCCATCCAGAACCTATAACCAAAATTTCAAAAAAATCGGTACAGCCGATCGCGAGCTTTGCGAACAGAAAAAACGGCTTTCAAAATATATATTAGTATAGATACCTGCCATGTAAACTTTTGTTTGGAAATGACCCAAATGATAATAAGATCGGTTATGAAAAAGTAGTTAGTAAAATTTTAAAGTTAAATATGCATCATAAGTTTACTTTTTGAAAATTTCTGAAGGGATAATATCTATTTTCAACGATTTTGTAGTAATTCTAGGGAAACATTTATTTTCCTATGTAAAATATATGTATGGATAACGTCAAAGCCTAGAGGGAACGGTTAAATTTTGGCCCATTTCAAAGCAAAAAACAAGGGCCTCCTTATTCGATATTCGATATTTCGATATTCTTCAGTTCTGGGGGTGGCTGAAAAAAACGTCCTATCACCCTGATGCGCATATGTACATACATATGAATATAGTAGGCGTGTTTTATTTGGCGAGAAATTTAAGCTATTAGCTTATTTTGTATGGCAGACAACATGTTATCTCAGCTTGTATGTTGAACTAGAGGCATTGCCATTCAGTATGAGTAAGCTTTCTGCAAATTTTAAAACCTACTTGAGAAAACTTCCCTTAATTTGATGGAATTTTTCATCGGGTGAAACTTGAAACCCCCAATTTTTGTTAATTTTTTCAACTTTGACTATCGCTAATTTAAAAAATTTATATTAATGTTGCCAAATATATAGCATTTGTCAAAAAGAACATTTATTTTCAAACAAATTTATACTTTACTCACTGAAATAGGATAAAAATCGTCGTTGTTAAACTTTTTAAATATAAATACGGCCTTGAAATTATGTGTGTACACTCTAAAAAATCTACGCATAATAAGAAAGTTGACCAGTTTATTTTCTTAATGTACGCAAATTTACACGCCGTGTTTATTAAATTAAACAATGTCTGTTTATTTTTACTTACCATGTGTGTGGCGTAGAACAAATTTCTAAGTTGTTTGTTGATTTCTAGACGCATATTGGTCACAGTTTACATAAAATGTTGAAAATTGGGTATAAAAATGTTTTGTTTAAATTCACGCATATAAAGAGAGGTAGCCGGATGCAATTTCACACACCGTGTTTGTAAAATTCAACTCTATCTCAAAATTACTCATAGAATATTTAAAATTGATAAAATATGAGCATTTAATTTTATTATTAGTAGAAAATGTATTTTTACGTTCAAAATGTTAGCGATTTTAAATATTTCATGCCTTTAGTTATGTGTTTATTTTAAACATCTCATATTCAAACATCAAATTTTGAACATCTTAGGGGTATATTTACACAGATTCTGGTTGAAAAATAAACACTTTTCAGTAGTAGTTTTACATACAATTTTTAGAGTGTATGTACCGGACTTTCGTATTTTTTGAGCAGTGTGGCTAAGGAATTCTACTAATATTATAAATGTGACAGTTTGTGAGTGAGTATGTTTGTTTGTAGCTCTTTCACGCTAAAATGGCTGGACGCATTTCAATGAAATTCGGCACACTTATAGGCTATGACCTTGATTAACATATTGGATATTTTTTGAAGGGGTTTGCTAGTTAGGGGTTTAAAAGTTAGAACCAACTACAGTGAAACCCGCTTAAGTACTTAACCCGCTTAAGTAGCCAACATTTTTTGCACCCCAAAACCCATCCCTTGTGTGCGCTAATGAGTCAAGCTGTTAATAGATAAATGCATTAAGAACCTACATAGGTTTTGAAATCAAAAAAATTGAGGGTGCAGGAACTATACGAAACCTATTATCATGTACTCGACCTTAGCTACGACCTACACTAAGTTTTGTTTCGGTTGAATTTTTTGTAGCACCGTGTAATCAATAATCGACATTTACTTACTTAACTACATATGTATCCATGTTTATGCTTTGTTTTATATTTGCCTTTTTATATAAAAATTTACTAATAAATTAACAATGGTCTCCCGTTTCAGCTTATAGTGCAGGGCTCTAAAACCAAAGAAAAAACAAAAAGGCAGATATAAGCAACATAAAACCCGTGTCTCCACCACGAACCTAAAATCCTCAAAGTTGTCGCAATGACAGACATACGCATTGATGATTGAACGCAAGGATGAACCAATATCTGTATATCTACGTATGTATGTAGATGAGGGTATTAAGAACAACAATTGTAAAACGGTAGAAATGGTAACTGAATGAAAACAAAAGCAATTGCAAGAAATGAAGAGACGTAATAACAGGTATCGGAAAATGCTGTAAAAGAGCTAAAGACGGGGACACAATACCGAAAACAAGATTGAATTTGCCAATACAAGCAAGCGTACATACACACACAAAACAGGTAAAACTATACTGACCGAAATAAGCCAGATGAGTTAAAATGCTACAAGGATACAATAAAAATTGCAAAGGACTGACCGACTGGAGTTTGCCCAATGGAATGGGGCAGCGGCAACATATTTGCAGACGATGTTGTGGAATTTCGGTAAATTAATTACCAAAGGTCATAACTCAACGAATTATAAAAAAAAAAAAACTATAGAAAAGCAACAACAACCGAAGGCGTGAAAAAGCAGCAGCATAACCCTTTATAGTTCTGACAAGAAAAAATAGCGAACCTAGCAAAAAAGCATCCCAAATATTTACACAAAAAAAATAGAAAAAATATACAAAAAATAAAAAAACGATCTTGCCTTGGACTGTGATGACCACGAAATGATGGATGACACAAAAAAAAAGAAAAAACTGCACTACATGAAAAACAATAAAAGCAACACTAACAGCAAGCGAGCTATAGTAACGTAAAGAACAGATCGATAGACAAAAGAGAATCAGCAATAAAGGAACTACATAAACTCCTTGTAAACAAACTGAGACGGGCTTGAAGTTGAAACTTGGTCACGAAAACAAGCTAAGAATTAGGGTAGCAAAAGGAGAGGGCACAGCGTAGCAGCAAAACCTATGCGAAAACTTTAAAAGCTTTAAAATCTTAGAAATTACTTAAAATAAAATATTATAATTATTATTAAAATAACTTTAACTAATCCACGTAATTAATCATAAATCTGATATATGAACTAAATTTCGATAATTATACACAAAACATAAATGAAAAAAATAAGATCTTACAAGGAAAGTAAACCAAAAATTTACTAGGATATCAAGAATTATATCTGCACTCCCATCTAAAAAAGTAACTACAACTTGCAACGCCCAAAAAAAAATTTAACCAAAAATAAATTAGATAACAGATAATTCAAAAAATAAAAAATAAATAAATTTAAAGCTGAAGTTAAACTAAGGTAGTGAACTTCATTATTCACAGCAAAAAAACCATTCTACAAAAACAAACAACAAGGGCTTCACCCCAGCCCACGAAAGTAGACACAAAGAGTTAAAATCGAATAGGGGGAACAGAGGAAATTGTAAACTGAATCAACGAAATCATTTCTATATGAATTTTTTCACATTTCGAAGCCTTAGTAAACTTTAAGCTTTAAGCTATTTTAGAAACTCTACTAAATTAAACTTGCAATCGCTTATAGCAGACCAAGTTGAGTATTTGGATCTTGAGCTTCGCGTCGAACCACATCAAAAACCTTCAACGCCATTTTCCTGAGGCGTGTTTGGAAAAATGGATGACATGCCAGATTTGTCTCATTTAACGCCCCATGAGCGTTTGCAAATCGAAAACGTTCTAATGCGCCAAAAGCAGGAGGAGGAGGCTCACAATGAAATTATGCGGTAAGTTAAAAAACAACAGTAAAAAACTTATTCTATCTTGAATTTGCAATGACCATGTCTTGATATTTTTTTTGTTGAAATATTTGTAATGTTTCTCGAGCTAAATTTTTTTCTACATTTTTCTTTAAAAATAACGTCCAAGCTTTAAACAAAACCATATAAATCACAGTTTCCTACTTTAGATAAAATTGAGGAAAACACCACAAATTTTTATCAAAATTTTAACTTGTTGATCTGTATCTTTAGAATATTTTTGGGTATGCAGTTTTATAGCCCATACAATTTTAGTCTCATGAAGTGCAAGTTTCAAACGTCCGTCGATTTTTGAGAATTTTTTTTTTGGATACTACTTTTATGGTTTTTTAACCGACTTCCAAAAAAGGAGGAGGTTATCAGTTCATCGGATATATATATATATATTTTTATATGAGAATTGAAGTCGGTTTTTTTTTGCTAAAAATTACTTGTTTGTGTAACAAGTGCAATTTACAAAAACTGGCGTTGATTTTTTGAAATTTTTTTGATAACGGTCTTCCGCGTTTTATTCCACAATAAATTCATGCTAATCTGGGAAAAAGAACGAAAATCCGTTACCAAAAAAAAAATCTAAAAAATCCACGCGATTTTTTAGCCTTTTCTAACTTGCACTTAATCAGACTAAAATTGTATGGGCTATAAAACTGCGCACACAAAAATGTTCTAAATATTTGGATTGAAAAGTTGAAATTTTGATGAAAATTTGTTGAATTTTCCTAAATTTTGTATGAAGTTCTGTGATTTATATGGTTATGGTTATTTTTATAGAAAAATAACAAAAAAAGTTTTGCCCGAAAAACATTACGAATATTAAAAAAAAAATTAAAAGACATGGACAATTTTTTACTATTTATATTCATTCAGTATTCATATATATGTACGCGTGCTTGTACCATTTACAAAGGCTCAATACGCCTAAGATTTACCGCAATTGCTGTTTTACTTAATCATGTATGTAGATCATATGTGTATGGGACGAGTCACGTCAACCGGCCCAGAGCCATGCCCCAAATTCAACTCAATGAAAATGAACATGCAATTCTGCAGAATACTTACAAATTAATACCCGTTCAGAGAAACAGTGGCGAATTAAAAAAAATCAAAATGCCGCCTTTAGTGCACCGCTTTGAAAATGCTCTTTTCGCGAAAAAGTGAATATACTTATTAATTTACAGAAAGCTAGGTCACGACTTATTCTATAGCTTTCGGGGTCGAATGTTAGCCACACGCAATGTACGCACGTTCGATTTTAACAATTCCGTGATAAATGGTGGATCCAATATGGCCCCCTAGTGACGCTTCTCCACGAAAATACCATCTTAAAGGATGTGCAGTAAATACGCCATTTTGAATTTTTTTATTCGCCACATTTTAGTTGAAAGGGTATTAATTTGTAAGTATTTTGACATATTGCGTGTTCATTTTCAGTGATTCACCTACGAACTAAAGGCCTGCAAGAATCAACTCATGAATTAACTCAAGTCTAGCGCCGCTGTGAAGTTGAAACAAGTTGAATGCAGATACTAAGGAAATATGTGAGTTCTTGTCTTTCACTAGTCGGTAAACTTGTTAATTCATCACATAAACAAAATTAAATATATATATAAATTCATGAGTTAACACTTGCAACCCTTTATTACGAACCCTTTGAAACCGCGGTATGAGTATTTGAAATGCGCTATACAAAAATGCCTTGTATTTCTTTGGTACCCTTTGACTGAGGGTTCCGACAATTCCGGGGGAGAGGTTTGAAAATAAATTAGAGAGAAAAACATTGCATACATTACGGAAAATTCTCTGTGCCAATACCTTTGCATGCCATGTACACAGTACATGTGTGTATTTATTTCCATTGTTTGGAGACTCAACAAGAAAATAATATTATGTTATTATTATACTGTGGGGAGCAGGACTATTTTGGTTAAATATTTGCAAGGTTTTTAAAGTTAATTTTTTTGCTATTTTTCCATTTTAAATGCCTATATATATCTTCTTCTGAGATTATATTCGATCTTTGAAATCGAATCAAAAATAGTCATTCAAAACTCACAAATCTAGGTCGCGACCTTTAAATGACCTTTAAAAAGTCTATAAAAATAGGCAATAGTATTTCTCATAAAAGTGAAAGAAATTAGGGTGTAGTGTCTTGAAATTTCGAAAAAAAATCATTTTCGTGGGCACCCTAATGTACATGGAAAACTTTGAGCGCTGTTGGTGAGAGCATTAAAATTTCTAGTTTATCTACTTTTTTTGGACCATTCTACATATACATACGTACTATAGATTAACATATTAGACAGTTTTGAAGCCTTTGAACTAATAATGGCGAAAATAATACCGGTGGTAGTCATTTAAGAATATAAGAAGTTTAATATCGCTGATCCACCAAAAACTTCCTCGAAATTTTATAGCCAACTTGCATATACATATATATGAGTAAGTACATACTTACATGCTATTTTATATGTGTGCATATTTCATCGGTCGCTCTTTCAAAATATTTGTCATTTTATTTCACATATATGTAGTATACTTGCATATGTACCTATTTATATATTTATTTAAATATACTTTTAGACGCAAGCAAGACGAAGTCGTCTCGCTGGAGATGCAAATACGTCAGCGCTCAGAGGAGCAGAAGAAATCAGGCATCGAGTTGGGTGCAATATGCCACATTTGCCTTCAGACGAAATTCGCCGATGGAATCGGACATATTTGCCACTACTGCAACATTGTGTGCTGTGCGCGTTGTGGCGGAAAAGTGACACTTCGCAGCAACAAGGTGAGTGCTTGAAGAAATGAGTGGCTGAAGAATTATTAGCTTGACACTGAGTGAAACTTTGAGAAGACAGCCCAAACCTGCTGAAACAAATTTCCATGAGTGACATTTAAAGAATAAGTAGACATTAATGCCCACATTGCCAATTTTTAAGCTGATTTGTAAGTTTTGTTTTTGTATTAGCTACCCTGACGGAAGCAAGTGATTTTTTTTTAAAATCAACTAATTGAAAGACTACTTTAAAAAGAATGTAATGGGTAAATGTTTCGAGTTTTGATACTATTTCTATTCAAAGAAACAATTTGTGCCTTGGAAGTATGAAAAAGCATATGTGAAGTGCAGAACGCAATCGCATTTAAAGGAAACATACTGACTTTGAAGTTGTTTAAACCAAATTCATTTTAAAGTAATTGAAATTAAATGCAGAGTCGGACAGTCGACTTGCAGCTTGCACACAATTCAAACTGAACATTTGAAAGCACATTTACATGCCTGTATGTAGCTGAGCGTGCAAAGATGTTTGCTACAATTGGTCGCAGCCAAGAATGTCCATGTTCAAGTCTCATTTTAATTAATTTTAAATTTTTAATTTCGGGTTTTCTTAGTCATGAAAAAGCATCTGTGAAGTGCAGAACGAAAGCGTATTCAAACGAAATATACTGACTTTGAAGTTGTTTAAGCGAAATACATTTTAAAGTAGTTGAAAATACATGCAAGAAAAGGCAACTGACTGCTTCCTAGGACATAGCTATGTTAAATAAATGAGTTCGTTGCAGGTAAAATAGTGAGAATTTCAATTAGGTATCATTCAAAATAAATTAGGTTACAAATTACTTTCAAATTAATCAAATTTCCTGCAGGGTACTTACATATATGTATATATACATATACATCTTTACATTAGGGTGCTAAAAAAAGTTAAGTTAGAATTTTAATGCTCTCACCCTCTAGGATTTTTGTTTACCGAAAAATATACCCAAGTTTCAATCTTAGTGAAACTAAAAATAGTCGACAAACTTTCGTACTTTCGTTCCTTTTTAATAAGATTTCTTATAAATATCTTGAGTATACAGTTTTGCAGCCCATTAAAGACTGGTATAATAAAGTGCAAGTTTAAAGTGGGTGGGACTTTCCGATGATTTTTAGATTTTTTTTGTTAATTAAAAAGCTCGACATTTACGAACGTGTGTTGATTTATTCTTTAAATGTTTCACAAAGATAGAAACTTGGGTTTATACGGTTTAAAGAACAAGCTATATTTCTGTAAACAAACTAGCAAATCCCGGCGTGCTTCACTGTGCCTTAAACGTAATTAGTGCTGTTTGATACCCGCTTTGTAATATTTAATTTATTTTATCAATTTAATTTAATATAACTTTTCAAACAGGTGGTAACCCTCCTCAAAAATATTTTCGGCAGTACACTTTCCTAAACCTCTTCAGTTTGATACCCATATTCCAATATTCAATTTATCTTATCAATTAAATGAAATTAACATTTTCAAACAGGTGACAACCTTCAATAAAACTGTTTTCGGCTGTAAGCCTTCTTAAACCTCTTTCTTTTGACAGTCATATTGCAATATTTACTTTATCGTATCAATTTACATAAACTGCAGTTTTCAAACAGGAAGCAACTCTCTATTTTTTTTTTCTGTATTTTAAGTTAGACCTCTAGCAATACATCGATGAAAACTGCATTCAATTCCATGTATTAGTTTTCAACAGATGCGCGTACAAAGATACAGATAGACAAAAATTGTAAAAATGGTTGATTTAGTTTCTATTGCTTTAATAAAGACCCCCATATTAATTTTTCTTAATATCTATAATGTACGGATATCGGCCTGTTACAATTTTATTAAATGTAATTTTTTTCGACATCGTTCGTAGCAGATTCGCATTCTACAATTCTAAGAAAAAAATCCCTTTAGGCCATAGCTCTAAATCAATTTCAAGCCTGCGCAATTTTAATACTAAGTCCATAATCAGATTAATATTTACTAAAGTGTTAGGAATGTTTCTTTTATAGAGTTGTGCTCCGGAGTTTTGTAGTATGAAAAACTCATTTCTGATATCTATTTTTTATTTAAAGAGCCACAAGATGGCGCTTCAAAGCAAATCTACTATATATTTGTCGAAGTATGTATGTATGTATGTACCAAGTTCCAGCCTAAACGGATGGACAGAATCGAATAAAATTTTGCAAAAGTATTGCCATGACTCCTGGACCTAAATATGGTAAAAAATTGAACTTGCCAAGGGGGGATGGGGGATACCTCCCATAGTGAAAATTTTTAATCAGCTCTAACTTCGGAATTATAGTCACATGAACTCGAAATTTGAAATACACAGATACCTATGGTAGGTGCTTATCTATACTAATTATATAAAGAGAAGTCCCTTTTTTGTAACAGGTAATCTGGCGAACGGCTGGCCCGATTTTAATGAAATTTTGTATATAAATAGCTTTCAGCAACCACCATGTTTTAGGCTAAAAAATTTACTTTTTCCGGTAGGTGGACCAGGGATTGATTTATTCCAAAAAATCTTATTATGGTCCGATTTGCTTAAAAGTTGGTACGTAGGTAGCGTTTTGCCTAGGTTAGCTTATAGGATCCTTTTTTCCGGGAAGTGGACCAGGGACCGATCTATTCGGAAAAATCGTATTTATGGTCCGATTTGCTTAAAATTCGGTACGTAGGTAGCTTTTTGCCTAGGTTAGCATATAGGATCCTCTTTTCCGGGAAGTGGACAAGGGACCGATCTATTCGAAAAAATTGTATTTATGGTTCGATTTGCTTAAAATCTGGTACGTAGGTAGTTTTCTGCCTAGATTAGCATATATGATTCCTTTTTTTCGGGAAGTGGACCAGGCACCGATCTATTCGAAAAATCATATTTATGGTCCGATTTGATTAAAGTTTGGTACGTAGGTTTTGCCTAGCAACCTCCATATCAAGGGGCGAATTCGTAACTAGGCAGGTTTTTTTTGCGACAATCAGAAACAGCCTAAAATGTATTCATCAGTTCGTTTTAATATATAGTGTAATTCATATATTCCAAGAAAAGGCTTTACTTCATAAGATATTCTTTTGTTCCTAATGAACCAGTATGCATGCTTCGGCGACGACGCACTTGCTATTCTGAAGAGTTTGACAAAAACAAAAGTTCTTGCTTGCGCATACTCTCTAGCGCAAAACACGTATGTATGTTTATATGTATGTATGTCAAAGAACGCCAATCTATATCTATACTAATTATATAAAGAGAAGTCCCTTTTTATTTGTAACAGGTAATCTCGCGAACGCCTGGTCCGATTTTCATGAAGTTTTGTATATAAATAGCTTTCGGCAGCCGCTATGTTTAAAGCCACAAAAAAACTACTTTTTCCGGTAGGTGGACCAGGGACCGATCTATTCGAAAAAGTCATATTTATGGTCCGATTTGGTTTAAATTGGGTGCGTAAGTAGGCTTTTGCCTAGATTAGCATATAGAATCTTTTTTTGCGGTAAGTGGACCAGGGACCGATCTATTTGAAAAAATCGTATTTATGGCCCGATTTGCTTAGAATTTGGTACGTAGGTCGCTTTTTGCCTCGATTAACATATAGGATACTTTTTTCCGGTAGGTGGACCAGGGACTGATCGATTCGAAAAAATCGTATTTATCGTCCGATTTGCTTGAAATTTTATAGGTAGGTAGCTTTTTGCCTCGATTAGCATATTGGATCTTTTTTCCGATAAGGGGACCAGGGACCGATCTATTTAAAAAAAAATTTAGTTATGGCCAGATTTGCTTCAAATTTAGTACGTAGGTAGCTTTTTGCCTGAATTAAAATATAGGATACTTTTTCAGATAGGTGGACCAGGGACCGATCTATTCGAAAAAAATTTTCTTTATGGTCTGATTTGCCTGAAATTTTGGGCATAGGTAGCTTATTGCCCGGATTAACATATAGGATACTTTTTTCTGATAGCTACATATGGACGGATATATGGTCCGTTTTTCTTTAAATTCGGTACACATATTATAGATATACATAGAATAGAATTGAATGATTGTTTTACAGTTGAAAATGTGTTTTAAGGCGCCGCAAAGCAATCGGGTATTGGCTATTTACGTATACTTATTATCTATACCAATTATATAAAGTGAAGTCCCCTATTTTTATAAGAGTCGATCTCGCAAACGGCTGTACCGATTTCTTTGAAATTGTGGACGCCTTTTCGTTATGTCAAGGGAGCATGGTATCTAATATACAAATCGGATTTTTCATACCGCATTTCTCTGGAAGTATTTGTGGTAGAGTCCTGGAACTTTATATGGTATCAATCCCATAATGGAGAAAAGTGTAAATACATATATAATTTTTCGGTACGTGTGTTTGTTAGTGATCTCCTCCTAAACGAGGTTCACAACTTAAAACACCAGATGGCGCTGGAGTCGAGTTTGTACTAAACATTGTATTTACGATCCGTTCTGGCTAATAAAATTTAACATGTATTGGCAACGTGAAGGGAAATATTGCGGCGAAAAAAAATGCTCGATAGTGGCTCTGGAGTGGAATTATTACTAAAAATCGTATTTTTGATCCGATTTGCCTCATAATAGAGATATATAGTTGTAACAGTAGTGGCAATAGTATAGGTTGCGCTGGAGTCGAGTTATTGCTAAAAATTGCCAAGTGAAGTCATTCGGGTATCAAAGTAGTCAAGTGACTACCATTAAATCTATTACCATAACCATTGCGGTCCTTCATTTACTAAAGACAATTTTTGATGAATGCCTACAAAGAAAATTGTAAGATATTTATGATATTTCGTCTGAAGTAAGTCTATGTATATTGGATTTCTGTAGACCGATGATACTCCTCCATCTTGAAATTGCCTCCAGATTCAAGGACACAGGATACAAGGATACAGATTCAAGGGCGATTCATCATCGTATCGGATCATTGTTGCCGCAAGAACTTCTCACGGACATAACGACTTCATTAGTTTATTTAAGACGGCAATAGAAAATATGCTTTCTGACGACCACAAAACCAATCTTGAACAAGAATTGTGGCGAAAACGTTGGACACAATTTTTTAATAAAAAAATTAATTTTGAGCGGGACGAAGTTCACCGGGTCAGCTAGTGGAAAGATATATGTATATAAATGAGTTTGTAAAAAGGGGCGTGGCACATCTCATAGGTGCGGAATCTTTTATCAGCTATAACAGCAGGCAGTATTAGTGATCTCATTGTATTACATTTTGACGATTTGTTATAATTGATCAAAGTGAAATTCTAATAAATTATAGATGATATGAAGTTCGCCGGGTCATCTTCTAGTCTTTAATATGTACTAAGTTAATATACGGATTAATATTTACTAAAGTGTTACGAACGTTATTTTTTTAATACAATAAGAAAAAAATAACTATAATTTAAAAGAGGGACACACAATGGCTAGAGTCGTCGAATGTGGGTATTCTTTCATATACATATACATATATGGGCCGTTCCTACCGTTTTATATTTTTCATCCACTCGCTTATTCCTTACCGAAAATTTTAAATAAAAATTTAACAAGTTTTAACCGCTGATACAGTACAGGTAGCAGTTTAAAATGGGTAGCTTAATAAAGAAAACATATTCTCTGGTTAAAATAATAAGCCTGCCAGGATAACACAAAATCCTAAGCTTAATAAACATTTGGTATTATAAAAATTTTATAAAGCACTACTTGTAATTAGAAAAACTGCCGACAAAATTATAAAATTGATTGATTGATTAATAAAAATAGATAGGGAGTTATGGCTATGACAATAGAAAGTAGAAAAAAGATACCTCGTGTTGAAAGCAAAAAGGATCTAAAACCAAAAAAAAAAATATAAATAGTATAAAAATATAAATAGTATATAATGCATGACACGAAAAATAATCTTGAAATATTGTAAAATTTTATTTTTATTTTTTTGGTTTTTTTAAGTCAAATTTATTTACTTTATTTACTTAAAGTAACGAACAAAAGTATTGGCACAGTGAATTTTTCGCAATATAGGCAACGTATTTATTAGAAAAATTCCAGTTTATTAATCCATTTAATTTTAGATTATCAAAGTGCAAGTTTGAAGTTCCTTGAAAATCTGAATATAAAATTGCAAATTAGTATGCAGATTTATTGAATTTTCCTGAGTTTTGCACAAAGTTTACACATTTGATTTTTGTGTGTTTTGGTGTAGTATGAACTATGTTTTTATAAAAAATTATCGGAAATAAATTAAAAGCTTTGCATATATGTCATGCGAAAATTTACTGTGCCAAAACTTTTGTTCGACACTGTACATATAAAAAAATACATACAGTAACTTCTCCCGTTACAATAGTAAAAAAATATGTAATTTGCTTTGTAGTGCAATCTTGCGGTTCTTTAAATAAAATACAGATAGCAGAAATTACTTTTTCGTATCAATAAACTCCCAATCACAGTTTCGTATTAAAAAAAAATATATATCCGTAACACTTTACTAAATATTAATCTGCATATTTTATTAATTTGTCGGAATTTTTTGTATGCCCGAGCGTACTTGTGCAAAAGGGTATATTAATTTTGCTCACATAACGGTTGTTTGTAACAGCCAAAACGAATCGAGATCGATCAGACTGTAACCACGCCCACTTCCCATATAACGGTAATTTTCAGAAATACGAAAACTGCGATATTTTAGTAACTACTGAAGATTAGTAACTCAAAATTGATATTTACAATAATTTTCAGACGAAAAATAAATAAATAAATGTGTATATCTTGGTAACCGCCGCACCAATTTCTTCCAAATTTGGCACAGTGTTGGCCTTGATACAGCATACTAAACGGCCGAAAATTTTTAAAATCGGACAATAACCACGCCCACATCCCATATAACGGTAATTTAGAGAAATGCAAAATCTTCGATAAATCGGTAAATATTAAAGCTGATTTAATCAAAATTGATGCTTGCAACAATTCTTTACCAAGAAATACGTTAATGGTAAAATTTTGGAAAATGGGCGTGGACCACTTATGATGATTATTGAAATCGGACCAAAATTACGGCCGCTTTTCATATAACGGTAAATTTCAGAAATGCTTGAAACTGCAATATTTCGAAATTTAAGGACGCCAATTTACTCAAATTGATACACCCCGGTTTACCATCTAGGTGAAAAAAAATATATTTAATACTTGCGCCGGGTACTTAATGTTGGGCCCGGCCGAACTTAGACTTTCTTACTTGTTTTTATGTACGTTACCGCATAACTTTGGATTCTTTTTTAAAGGAAAGGTGGTTCCTCAGAGATAGTCTCCTACTAATTGAGTGTAGATCCAATAATTGGGCCATGAAGAAAATAACGGTACTCTTAAATTTGTATATGAGAATTGAAGTCGATTTTGTTGTTTGTTTAAAATTTACTCCAGTGTCCACAGCTTCTATAAAAGAGTCGTAGGCCACATTATTTTGTTAGTTCAATTGTGGAATATTGGTATGAACTGCTTCGGCTAATACTTCGGCTTTTGCTCTCATTTTATATCGAGGCTAAGTGCATTGTT